CCTTTACAGGTAATATTTGTTGGTTTCCGTTTATTAACAAAGATGCCTCCTATTACTAAGATACTAGGAGTTTATCAAGAATTGAATTTCACTGCTTTTTAAGTTGCATTAGAAAAAAATAACACATGCAAAAAAACCCACATGCAAATGTTTAAACTGCTTAACGTTTTTATTATTGTGGTTAATTTGAATAAACTGAATGCTTTCTGAGGTAACTAGTATGTAAATTAATATTTATTTAGAATACCCTAATTATATTAAATATACATTTTGTTTTCTTTAAACTACTTGTAATTCCAACTGTTACTGTCATGTATTTCCTATGGGTATTAAGTATAGCTTGTTTCAAATATTAAATTTACTTCAAAATGAAGCTTAAGGTTTTTAAAACTCTAGTGATTCCTTTACATTTAAACCAGAAATCATTATTTTAAGCTTAATGAGTCATTTCTGCTATAGCATTTTTAAAATGTGTGAATTTGTTTCAACATGATTATATATGAAGGAATAACCTCTCTCAAAATTTCACATTTGCTTATAAGCAACTTTGTCGGTGAGAAACACTAGGTCAGTTGTAAATTAGGGCAATTTTGCCCCGCCAGAGGACATTCGGCAATGTCATGACTGGATGGGGGTTTCTACTGGCATCTAGTGGGTAGAGGCCAAGGATGCTGACAAACACCCTGCAGTACACCAGACAGCCCCCTCCCCACGCAATCATCCCGGACAAAATGGCAAGAGTGGCAAGAGTGAGAAATGTTGCACTAGGTGAATGAAGAGAACTGAGCTGAGTAAGAATATACAAAACGCACACACGCTTACCCTTCAAGCAGCTACCATCTAACTTGGATTACCCTGTTATTATGAGCCCTCCCTATCCACATCTGGTGTTACAACCTGCCATCTGATAAATGTTCCTTCCACTATTTCACAATTACTCACAAGCCCACCTCTTCTTACACCCACTTCTAGAAGGAAATTTCAGGTCCTTTTTGAGGCAAGTTATTTCTTAATCACTTAACGTGCATAGGACTGTGTTTTTATTTGGTTCCCTTCTTTTTAACATGTCACTAATAAAACTTTTTGAGTGTTGTGTGCCTCACTCCATTTCTCTCATAAGCTGTGATTTATACACGATTTTGCATTGTACTGTGATTTTTAGAAATGAGTGACATACTATAGCAGAAATAAGTACGTTTTTATTTGTTAAATATACTTATTCTCTTTTAAATTAAGATTAAATTCACTTTAAATGTTTTCCAAAAATGATCAAAAAAACTTCATTTACCCAATTTTCAAAAGGTTAAAAGACCCAATTACAGAGAACACTCTTATTCACCACTTATTTAACAAATATTAACATTTTTTTATTTTCTTTTCACGCAATAGAATATGACAGATGAAACCGAAGTCTCGTCAGTACCTTCTTTGATAGTTCTTATACTTAGTCCTATTCTCCTCCTTTCCGAGAGGCAAATATTATGATGAATATTAACTTTTCATGTTTTTAATTTTTTAATACACGTACATATGTAAAGTGTTGCTTTCTCTTTTATGCACAAGTGCTTTATTATACTGTAACTTGCATTTGTCATTCAACATTTGGAGATCTGTCCATGTAGATATAATTGATCTGATTTTGTACAGTGTTCTAGTGTTTGAATAAGTCACAATACTTAATCTATTCTTTTATCCAGTGACGATTTGTTTTCAGTTCTGTGAACTGGCTGTTCACATCCTTTTACCTGTATTTTTATTGGGTCTCTGTCCTTTCAGTTCTATAACTTCTTTATATAATTTGTATGTCAATTAACTGTTGACACTTCAGGTCACAAATACTTTTTCCTACTATGTGTCTTATCTTTTATTTATGCTTGTATTTTAAATTTTAATGCAAATGTATCAATCTTAGTCATTTGCTTTTTTAAGCAGTTTTTTCCTACACTCAGGTCACAAAGATATTGTTTTCTTTCAAAAGGTGAAGTCTTGCTTTTCATGTTTAGACTTTTAACTTCTAGAGTGCAACATTTTTATGGTATACAGTAATGATCTACCATAACATGTTTTTCCAACTGAAAAGGCTGTCCCAACACTGCTTCTGAAGGTCTCTGTACTAATTTCCTAGGGCTACTGTAACAAGGTACTACAAATTGGGTGGTGAAATAATAAAAATTTATTCTCTCATAGGGTGGCTGGAAGTCTGAAATCAAGGTGTCAGCGGGGCCATGCTCTCTCTGAAGCCTCTAGGCAAGAACGCGTTCCATGCCTTTCCTTAGCTTCTGGTGGTAGCTGCTGATCCTTGACGTTTCTCAGCTGCAAGCAGCGTAACTCCAATCTCTGCCTCTGCCGTCACATGGCATTCTCCCTTTGTGCGTCTGGGTGTCGTGTCTCTTCTCTTCTTATAAGGATAACAGTCATATTGGATTAAGAGCCTACCATACTCCAGTATGATCTCATCTTAACGAATTACTACAACTCTACTTTTAAATAAGGTCAAAATCTGCAGTTTCAGAAAGGACATGGATTTTGGGCAGTTTGTTTCTGGGCCCTTTGTTTCCACTGCTCTGTATGTCTGTCCTTACACAAAAAAGCACTGTAGCTGTATTAATTCTGTAGCTCTATAGTTTTATTATCTGCCAGGGCAATTACCCGTTCTTTGTTCTTTTTACAGAATCACATTTTTTACCTTTATTTCTCCAAATGAACTTCAGAACCTGTTTATCCAAATTCACAAAAATCTGCCATTTTGATGACACGGCAGTCAATTTATATATTAGCCTGGAGGAAAAGTATCATATTTACTATATTTAGCCTTCCCATCTCTGGGCATGGTATATCTCCCGTTTACTTAAAATTTCTCTACAAAGTGTAGCATATCTTTTGCATATGTAATCCTGGGAATTATGGTTTGAGGTTAACAGTATTTTTAAATGGATGGTCTCGTTTGTTCAGTAATCAGCAAAAACGCTCAACATTAAAGTTTATAAAACATAAGACATAAAAATAATGGCCACTCCCTCTAACCCTGAACTCAACAAAACACTAATCAAATAATGTGTACTCAGGTTTATATATCCTCTTCTATGCCTTCCAACATGTCTTCCTTCCTTATACTCAACACAAACTTTAACACGTTAGAAGCTGAATTCTGACATTTAAGCCCCTGCCAAACGTCATTTCAACCACTAAGAATCGGAAATCTTTGAAAACATTGCTCTGAATTTGTAACTGTGATGTAAAACTAGTTGAACTGTACGCCCATCACCAGCCCCGGGCCAATTTGTCCTTCCCCAGGTCCTCCCCCGCCACGCCCAGGCGCCCCCGGGCCAGGCTCGGCCAGCATCTCGTTCGGCGTGGTGCACGCTCGGCTTTGCGCGGGGGTTTCGGCCACAGATGAGCCCCCGGAGCTGCGGCCACCGACTCCGTCCAGGCCCAGACCCTACACCGGAGCCCAAGGAGCCCCCAGATTCCACCCCACCCGTCCGCAGACACCGGCCCCGAGGACCCCAGGCCGCAGGCTCGCCAAGCCGGACCCCGAAGACCCTCCCTAAGGACCGCATCTGGGCGCGGCGCGGGGGAAGCCCCTCTTACCCGAGCCGGGGTGGCCATTGCCCTTTGCCGTCCCACCGGGCCCCACCCGGCAGACACCTGGAGGCCCGACCGCCCCGTCCCCGCGCAGTGCACGCTGGGACTCGCTGGAGCCCCGCCCCCCACCCGCGGCGCCCCCTGCAGCCGGGAGGAGCGAGGGTCGCCCGCTGGAGTCGGAGCAGGGGCCGTCGCCTGCCGTCGGCGGATCTTCCGCTCTTGGGGCCCCCCAGGAGGGGGGCAGAGGCCCAGACGAACGGAAGGAGAGCTCGGGAGAGGGAGCCGCAGCTGGAAATGCACGGTCAGCTGGAGGTGGGTGGAGGGGAGACGCGCTCTGCCCGGAGACGGGCCTCCCCAAAGCCGACCCCAGTCAAGGGTCAGGGTCACCGGTGAGGTGACCCCAGGAATGAAGCGAGGGAGGTGAGCCAGCCCAGGGGCGTTCTCGAGCCGGTGCCCTCCTTGGGCGATTGGGAGTCGGCCGTGGCGGGGACTCCGGGAGTGCAGACCACCCCTCAGAATCGCCCCACGGGCGAGGGGCTGGGATTCGACCCAAGAAGTCAGGCGGAGACGGGGCATCGTTGACCTCATGGACTGAAAGTAGTTAACGTGGCTCGTATTCTGTAAAACCCAAGAAGTGTCTTGTAACCTAAATTTGAAATGGATCTTAAATTCACTCTTAAGCAGCCAAGTGGTTGAACTGACTAGGTATGTGAAATTGCTATCCCTGCTTTACAGGTTAAAAAAAATTGTATATATGTGCATATATAAATATCTGTATATAAAATTTAACACAGTAAAGCAAAATTTTTTAAGTTGTCCATAATTATGGCACTCTAATGTAAATAGTTTATTTTTTCATATGAATTTCCAGAGTTCCAGTTTCTGTCCACAGATGTGCTTTTACGTGATTCTAAGACGTATTTGTTTTTATCTTTTCACTTACCGTATCAAAGTTTTCCATGTTTCATAATATCATAATTATATAGTTAAACTGCTCTAATTTAAGGTGGTGTATTAATCTGCTAGATCTGTCATAACAATACCACAGACCGGGCAGCTTAAATGACAGAAATTAGTTTTCTCAGTTCTGGAGGCCAGAAGTCGGAGATCAGGGTGTCACAGGATTGGTTTCTTCTGAGGACTCTCTGCTTGCAGAAAATTGCCTCTTCCCTGTGTCCTCCCAGGGTCATACCTCTGGGTGTTCTGTGTCCTAATCTCTTTTTGTAAGGACACCAGTCATAATGGACTGTGGCCCACCCCTGTGATCTCGTTTTCCTTAATCACTTCTTTAGAGACCCTATCTCCAAATACAGTCACATTCTGAAGTACTGGGGTGGGGGGACATTTAGGACTTCAACATAGAAATTTTGGGAGCACACAATTCAGCCCATAACAGGTAGGGGCAGTTTTAAAAAAAATTGTGGCCACAAATAACGCTGCTTGAACATTTTCATACACATAGTCTTAAGACACAAAAAACACAAAACTTTTTTTTTCCATCAAAAGACAATAGTGTAGCCAAAAGCAGGTCACAGCTTGGGAAAGATACGTACAACAGGGAATAGCAGCCAGGGAGTATAAATAACTCCTAAAAATCAGAGACTACCCAAGAAGAAAATGGGCAAAATTATGAATAGTGAATTCACAGAAAGGGGAAAAAATGCACAGGCAATAAATACAGGAAATGTTGCATATCTTTGTGAGCTGGGGAGACCCAATGTCTGCTTATGAAGATGTGTTACCCTGTGATCCAGCAATTCTAACTTTGGAGCTCTTTTTGGACATTTACCTGGGAGCCATATTGAAAAATCTCTATAGCAACATTTAAGTAAAAATAGGAAAGTAATTTAAATGCCTGTCACCCAGAGGATGGAGAGTCTTTGGGCTTCTTTTCCCATACACCGAAAACTAGCAGCAAAAACTAATGAGTTATATGTAGCTAAAAACAGCCTCAATGAATAGCATTAACATTACATTGAGTGAAAAAGCATGTAGCAGATTAACAGTATACCATTTATAGAAACCTATAAATAGCACTATATATTATTTGGAATAATACATATGTAGGAAAAGTAAAAGGGCACGTACAGGACAGTGGGTATTGCTGGGGACTGGGATGGGAGGGCTGGGGAACTGGAGAGAATGGAAACCAGTACCATTATGTATGTACCTCATCAGTACAGACAGTCCCCCACTTATCATGGTCCCACCTAAGATTCTTCAGCTTCACAATGGTGCGAAAACTGATATGCATTCAGTCGAAACTATACTTCAAAGTTTTAATTTAGATCTTTTTCCAGGCTAGAAACCTGCAGACTGATCCTTTCTTGTGATGCTGAACTGGGCAACCAATTGGATTAAGGGTAACAGCTGATCCAGTGACAACCATTCTGCTTTTCACTCTAAAGTACAGGATTCAACAAATTGCACAAGATGTTCAATACTTTATAAAATAAGCTTTGTGTTAGATGATTTTTTCCCAACTACAGACTAATATATTCTGAGCACATTTAAGATGCTAGGCTAATCTATGAGGTTTGGTAGGTTGAGTGTATTGACTGTATTTTTGACTTCTGATATTTTCAATTTATGATGAGTTTATCAGGACATGACCCCACTGTAAGTCAAGGAAGAACTGCAATGCTAATGCCTTATTACCTAAGCTAAGCCAAGGGCACACAAGTGAACATTTACACTTTGTGTATGAATATCTTGAATACTGCAAGATAAATTTAAATACATTAATCATCACTGGGTATTTGCCATCTTCTGGGGACACAGGCTTGTAAAATAAACAATGCCAAAAGAATTTCCAATAATTGCTGGCCACAGAGGAAAGTACAAAGTGCTATGGGAGCATCAGAGAAGGGATTAGCTAGTTAACTCTAGAGGAAGAGATAAAACTGAAAAACTCCCCTTGTCCTAGCTTGACTATGAAAGTGATGTTTTCACTATATAATTTAAAATAGGTATGTGTACACACAAACATGATTTACCTGTTGAAAGGAAGGAGCGACACACAGCAGCAATTCACCGGAGAGTTCCACTTTATTGGGGACAAGTACTAGGTTATATAGGGAGGGACATAAGCTGATTGAGGCGCCACTTCAACGGGACTGGTGGCTATTGGCCAGGTGCTGGGATTGGGGGGTGGCGGCGAGAGGTGATTGGGCCTCGGGTGCGCAGGCGGGAACCGAACACCCGGAAGAGAAGCAGGAGGTTCGCCATCTTATGGGTGGGGGCCCTTCACCTGTCATTCTAACTTCACCTCAAAAATTTTATGTATAGAACATTCAATGTTGTTCAGCTCTAAAACTGAATTGTGATTTCCTCTTTAAGCTGATTGCCTTCAGAATGTGTTTTAAGTTTCCAAGCTTAGGAAGTTTTATTTGTACTTAAAGGCTTTACTTTTTGTTTATTTCTAAGTTAACACATCATGGTAGAAGAAATTTGATCATGATGACATGGATTTTTAAAAATACGTTGAGACTCTACTGTGATTTATATTGTTAATTTTTCTAAGTGCTCTGTGTTTAAAACCATTATTTCCTATACTGGGCTTTCTATTGGGTAAAACTTGTAAATATTTTGCTGTTTGCAAAAAGATTACTACTGCTTCTTAAGATAATTGCTCCATGCCTATGTTTATGAAATTATATTTATTTTGGTTATTTTGTTGACTTTTGCTTTTCATACTACATATCTACATTTTTAGGTATTTACAAGTTCATGATTCTTAAATCTTCCTAGTGGATTCTTTTTATGTATTTTGCCAGAAATTCTAATTTGTTCTCATGTAAAGTTTGTTTCACCAGCCTTCAATTGGTAAATCTTTTTTCATCATTTTCATTCTTATTGTTTGAAGTCATGTCTCTTGTAAACTGCATAAAGTATGAATTTTTAAAAATATGTGACACTCTTTTGGTAAGTGTACTTATTCATCACTTTGTTGTTGTTTCTACCATCCTGGAAATTACTTCTTTTCTTCTTTTCCAGCTTTCAGTTGGATTGGTAGTTTTCTATATTCCTTCCTTTTTCTTCAGCTGTTTTAGAAACTATTAACATGATATTGGTGATTGATCTTGATTTTTTAACAGCTTTATTGAGGTATAATTAATATAACAAACTATATATTTAAATTTTATAATTTGATTATTGACATGTATACATTCATGAAACCAACCTCATAATTAAGGCAATAAGCACACCTACCATCTCCCTAAGTTCTTCATATTTTCCTCCTTGTTCTTGATGCTAGTTTCACCACTGTTCCCAGGTGTGGGTTTTACCACCCGTAATGGGCATGCACTCTTCAACTGAGAGCTTGGGGAACCTCATTCATTTTCTAGTCTTGCCACTCAGCTCTTCCCTTTTCTTTTGGAATTGTTATATATTGGAAGTGCTCAATCAATTCTGTACATCTTCACTGCTTTTATACTTTTAATATTTATATTTACTTCATTTTGGGTGAATTCCTAAAGTTCATTATATTAATTATTTTAGTTCAGTAACTTTACTTTCTCATTTCCAAGGTTCTTTTTCATATCCACCTGTTTGTACATGAAGTCTGCTTATTGGTTCCTAATACTTTAACATTTTATAATTCTCTTATATTTTGATGACTCAAATGTACTGAATTCGGTATTTTCCATACTCTAATATTTTTGTCTGGAGGAATTCACCTTGTCAACTTGCTTAGACTTCGATCTCTTTATGGGTTTCGGAATTACGGTTTGCATGATGACTTTGAATGGGGGTGGGTAGGATTTCCATATACATATGTGCACATTCAACTATTTCTGCCTCACTATTTTGCAGTTCAGTCTGTCTGGTTCCCAGGGGCCCTCAAGTCCATAATCAAGTCCTGTGTCAGTGGTTCAGTACCCTTGCTCCCATGTTCTATCACAGACCCAGAGGCTTGGTTTGGATGGAGAAAATACAGACAAGATCAAATCCCCACCCTGCAGGAGTTCAGTTTATGAAGGGAAGCGTGCAGGTTACAGTACAATGTTTATTGTACTGTACCGGTGTTTAGAGGACACTCTGAGAGATGAACACACACATAAAGTGTTTCTGGTGTTGAGACTGATGACAGAATATGAAGTTAAGAAGACGGGGAAGCAGTAATGAGGATATGATGCACTTCGGAAAATTAGTCTTTTGATAGCAGTGAAGTTCATATTGTGAACAGGTAACAAGATGATGCTGAAAAGGCCAATCCAGGTCAACTCAGAGGTTCTTTCATGTCATGTTAAAGAGTTTGCAGTTATAATAAAATTGGGAACTTCTAAAAAACTACTTGAGTGTAACATTAGAGTTGCATTTTTGAAAAACCATTGTCACAAGGATGACGAAGGCATTGCACAAAAAAGCGGAGAAATTTGCTAAGAAAAGCACTGTATCATTTTAAAGTTGGTTTAAGTTAACGTAGTGGCAGTAGAAATAGAGAAGGGCTTTACTTGGTGGAAATTTATGAGATAGACTGGATATAAGAAAATCTAGGATCATTATTAGATGTACAGCTTTTGAGATAAGCTGTAATCTTAGAGGTGGGAAATACAGGAGAGAGTAAAGAAATGTAGAGTGTGGGTTGATCCAGGCAAGGAGTCTTACTTAGGCATTCTGTGTTTGACATGCCTGGGGAAGTCATAAATACTCAAGAGGAAGTTGTAAATAATGGGTGTGGATTTAGAGATTTGAAAGTCATCAGCACCGAAGAAGTAACGGAAGAAATTTCTGTACAAGCTGTGGCTCAGACAGGTGGGCAGACACAGTCAGCGGCTGGCTTTGGAAGGGGGGCATGATGCGTCCTTCTTAGTACTTCTTTCCATTCAGGGGAAGCCCCAGTGGCACAGAGCTCCTAGTCTTTGCCTCCTCATTCACTCTGCTAGTGAACACAACTGGTTCTCCAATATTAACTGTGGTTAAATGAAGTCATAAGGGTGGGAGTCCTAATCCAGTAAGAATGGTATCCTAAGAGGAAGAAATACCAGAGATCTCTCACTTCCACCCCGTGCACAGAGAAAAGGCCTTGTGAGCAGACAGGGAGAAGGTGACATCTGCAAGGTAGGCAGGTCTTCTAGACACCAATCCTGCTGGTAGCTTGATTCTGGGCTTCCAGCCACTACTACAAGGAAGTAAATCTCTAAGGTTTAAGCCACCAAAGTACCGGTGGTACTTTGTTACAGCAGCCCGAGTTAACTAAGACACCCATGATATAAGAAACTTTTATCAGAAGTAGCTCTATTACAAAAGGGAGGAGAAAAATGCATAAAGGAAGAGTTCTACCCTAAATCTCATACAAGGATGACCAAAATACCTTCCAAAAATAGTCTTCCTTCAATCTCTCTGCTCACTAGCTCCAATGTTCTGAAACTTCGGTTTGCACAAGATCACCTGGGAAGATTCACTTGGTACATCTGGGGAGCATCCCAAGGTTCTGCATTTTTAACATGAATCCCAGATAAAGGCACAGAGCTACCCAGAGGCACACTGGTCAAGATGCCAGCCAAGGCTGACATCTGGCCCATACCCGCCCTGGCCCAGGCAGAGGAAAGTGTCTTTTTCTTTGCACAAAGGCACCATCAACACACCAACAGCCTTGTGCCTACAGGAATGTACCGACCAGAGGTGGCACCTTTCCTTTTCTTTGTTTGTTTCATGTTTTCAATTGTACTTTTTAAAATTAAGGTGTCATTGATACACAATCTTATGAAGACTTCACATGAGCAACATTGTGGTCTCAACATTCAGCCATATTATCAACCCCCCACCCCCACCCCATTGCAGTCACTGTCCATCAGCATAATAAAATGCTATACAGTCACTACTTATCTTCTCCAGTGGCAACTTTCTTTTTTATATAGACACTGTGATTTGTGGAGTGCCCTTGATCCTAGCTGATTCTGATTCAGGTAATCTGAGAGCACGTATCGTGCTGCAAAGATTTATTTAGGCCCCAGAGATTCCCTAAGGAAGGAATTCTGTGGTTTTTGTAGGAATAATGTTAAGGAATGACAGCCCAAGAGACAGATGAGAGTTTGCAAGAACAGGCTGGAAAAGCACCTTAAGACAGAGTAGGCCACAGAGCAAAAACTGGAGTGAAGCCATGGCCTGACAGTGTGTCTTCCTTTGGTATTTAGCCCAGAGACCCTAATGCTGAGGCAAGTATAATTCTTGGAGAATTGACACACTGTTGAAAAAAATGCGGGTGGTTCTGATAAGTAACATTGCTTGTTACTCACAATGGAAATAAAAACACTTGTGTGGGCCATCATTTTAACAAGTGAGATGGTAGATGACAGCATTTATTTTTAGCAACATAGAGAAATTCCCCCAAGACACAGATGCCCTCTCACCTTTTGAGAAAACCTGAAAGTCTCAATGGAAATTTAAATAGGGGAGGGATTATCACACTCTTGGAAAAACTGATGAAATCACAGAACAGAGTAAAATGTTCCTTCCACGACTGGCAGGCCTTGCCCGTGAGGATTAGAGAGGAAAGAGCCTCCTCCTTATGCCCGGATTGCTCGGACCTTTGCCAAGGAGCCATCGTGCCCTGCCTGCCGTGCATCGGGCCAGCGTGTTGGAGGCCAGTGTTCTGTTCATTCTTTATCCCACCCGCCAGAGCCCGCAGAGGTGCCGGCTCCACCCAAAAGCTGTCACTGCGTACTTTCTGTGCAGCCTGACCCAGACAGTGAAGAGCTTTCCTGGGCATGTACTGTGAGGTGGGTGTGCAACGCCCCCATGTACGTAAAGAGCCCTCCACACTCATCACAGGAGAATGAATGACCTCTCCCCTCGGTGACTCTTCAGACTCCTGAAGGAAGCCTTTGTCGCATTCGGGGCACCTGAAGGGCTTCTCTCCGTGGTGCGCGTGCAGTGGACCTTCACACTGCCCCTCGTGCAGTGGCTCTCGTCCCATCTGGACACTGCAAGGGCACCTCGCCCCCGTGGATTCTCCTGTGCTCGGTGAGCTCGGACAGCTGCGTGTAGGTCTCACCGCTCTCGTCACCCCCGTGCACCCACTGGTGGGGCCTCACGGAGCCTTCCACGAGAGCCCGGTCACACTCCGGACCCTGGTGGGAGTGTTGCTCATGTGAAGTCTTCATAAGATTGTGTATCAGTGACACCTTAATTTTAAAAAGTACAATTGAAAACATGAAACAAACAAAAAAAAGTACAATTGAAAACATGAAACAAACAAAGAAAAGGAAAGCCCCTCCCCGCAGTGGGAGTGCTGGCTGAGGCGCCGGCTGCACTCGGCACAGGAGAAGGGCTTTTCTCTGGGTGGATCTTGAGGTGCTCCACGAGGGGTCCCTGTGCACTGGCCACAGGGGAACTCCCTGGGCCTGCTGTGGACTCTGCTGTGGCTCGAGCCAGCCTAGAGCGCCGGGTAAAGCCCTTGCCACACTCCCCACAGGAGAATGGCTTCTCGTGCTGTGCAGGCGCTGATGGGCCTGGATGGCATTCTTTTGAGAAAAGCTCCTGTCATACTCGGGACACTGGACGGGCTTCTGCCCACTGTGCTGGGACAGGTGGGCTTCCAGGCTTCTCTTCAGGCGGAGGCCCCAGCTGCCCTCGGGGCCCGGGAAGGGCCGCCACCGTGTGGGTGGCCTGCTGAGTGACCAGACTGCGCCGCAGTGGTGGCTCTCCCACCCCCTGCCCTGGGAGCGCTGCTTCCAGCACAGAGCCACCCGGGGCCACCTGAGTTCAGAGCTTCTTCGGAATTCTTTCTGTACTTTTTCTTTTACAGGTATTTACCGGGCTGGCTCTTGGAGTGGCTTCTTTTGTGCTTTACCAAGTTGCTCTTTTCCTGCAAGACCTTCCTCCAGACAAAGCAGGAATAAAATCCTGGCCCTGGCAGGATTTCCGGGTGAGCTGGGGTACCCACCGGGTTATGCCATGGATCGTCCCTGTCCTGATTAGATGCTGGATGTCAAGGTTTTTATGTGGAGTCTCTGTTCCTTGTAGATGTGGATGTTGTACGGCAGCTCTTTGATCTGATAAAGTCTTTCTTTCCTCCCCTGATAAGACGGCACCTGAGCCCTGCTTTGGGAGACCATTTGAATGGCGTTTCTTCTCTTTTGCCCTTAGAGTTCCTTGGTCACTTGCAGAAAAGAAAAGCAGATCCACCTTCACCAGTGATGTGCCTGCACTAAGCTGGGGTCAAGGGCCATTTTTGTGTCACTAACAACATGGGAAAGGGAATCCCATTCATCTTGACTTTGTGAATCTGCCTGCCACAGATAAATTATATGTAAGGTTCATGTTGATAAGCAAATACTTTCATCATGTATTAAGAAGTGGCTTAGCATGAAAAAAATCATAGGCAAATACATCTTGTGAACCTATGGATGACCCTCAGAGGATAAACAGATGTTGGAAGAAAATAACAATAAGTTTCTCTAAGAATCAGACCATTCCACTATAATATTTCCTTACATTTGTGAATAAATAGCACTGTTGCTAAGTAGGATGGCTTCGGGTCATACTCTTGCTCCCTTCTACCATAGATTTCAGGGAAAGCTTTCTGGAAGAAAGGCTAATATCAGGTACCCTTCCCAGGAATGTCACAGTGGCATTTTGGAATCCACAACAACACTGGAAAGTATTCCGTTTTCTAAGAATTCCACATTTTAAGAAAGATATTGAAATAAACATAGTCACTGCTGTTCCCAAAGTGAAAGCCATGCCGCCAGGAGAGGGAGCGGAGCCAGCTCCTTACTGTCACCCACTGTAACTGGAGGGGACAGTTCAGGAGGCTCACCAGAGCCTCTGTATTTCAGAACTGCTTTACCTCCATGTCCTGTTGAATTGGGTCATGGGGCTCTCCTTTTTAAAATCTCTAAACATGGGAGGAAACTGCCCCTATTAGACAGGGTGGGCGTGGCCCCGGAGAAGGACTCTGATTATCTTAGCATGTTAACAACAGTCTAGGTTATGTCCCCAACTGGATGGTGTCAGCTAGTAAGTTAGCACTCCGCAGCTTTTGCCTGGATCATGGCAGAAGTGTACTTGCCTATCTCCTTGAATCCTTTCTTATCACTTACTATTTACCCGTCAGAGGAGCAGTTGTGATTGGGTGAGTAGCACCTGATACAAAGGAAACATTTGTTTCTAGTGAGAGCCACCAAAATCGTTTCTTCTTTGGTACTTAAAAACCTTTCAGGGTCCTCCCTTCTATAGGATGAAGTCAAACTTTCACCTTGGCATTCCTGGCCTCATATAATCTGACAGCAATTTGTGCTTCCCCTTCTCTATCTCCTACTATGTCCCAAAAATAATACTCAGCTATATGCAGTGTCTTCCATTTTCTAAATGAAATGGGCTTGTTTCCACCTCTGTGCCTCAGTCCACATATGACCCTTGATAAATCTTCTCTGCCTAACCCAATCTGCCCATTCTTTGTCATTTAAATCCTACTTCCTTGAGAAGTCCTCCTCTGTTATTGCTGCCTGTCCTCTGTTCTTTCTCCTCTAAATTCCTACAGCACTTACTACCACTGCTGCTTATTATCTAATAATTTAATTGTATGCAGTCTTATTTTGTAGTGGACTAGCCCAACAGTTCAGTGTAACTGATTTAACTGCCACAACAGTCAGTAAGACAATGAACTCCTACAGTGCAAGGAGTCTGTATGTGTGTAAAACCCCTACTCCTGGCTTAAGTAATACCTAACACAATCCTATGAACCTGGTAGGCACTCAATACTTGATAGATGGATATCTTAATAGATGGTGGCAATGCAGTGAAGCCCCTGGGAACCCTTATCCTCTTGAACGAACTAGCCACACATTCCCTGGGTTCCAATACCATCTTCTTGAGGGAGTCCTTTGACTTAGGAGATGTCCATTTAGAAAAGTATTAACATACTCTAAAAAAAGACTTATTCCCTATATATTTAAAATGTTTTCCTTGTAAGGAATTAAAAAAGGATTCCTTCAAAAGGAATTAAAAGAAAAACCCAAGTTCTAAAAATAGGTACAATAAAAAAATAGTGTACAAAACTAGAAGGTTCTCCATTTCTCTATATTCAAATAGACACAGTGTGACTGGGGAAGGTGGTTTTTCTTCAGTACTTGACAAATGAGTTGTTTACTTGCTCTTTTACAGGCGATATTCACCTTTCCAGGGTCACACTTGAAAAAAAAAGAAATATACATAACTTCCCTTTTTATAAAATACATTTCTATATTTGCTACCCACTTGAGTCAAAAAAAGCCTAACATTCTCCATCAAAACATGTTTCCTATTCACTATGTCCAGCTGACTATTCAGAAAGATTCAGGAAACAAGGCCAGGAAAATTAAATGGGTCATAAGCCTAAATCCATCACATTCACCAAAATATGACGGCTTTCCAGTACTCACCGAATTCAACTGCTCATCAGTAGCAGGGCTAAGGGTCATTTTTATGTTCTCTTAGCATCCCTGTTCTCTGATAACAGCACTCTCGCTTACTCCATCCAAGTGACCAATCTGGCTTGGAAAAAACACAGCCTGCAAAGGGAGTCCACACAGACTCAGTCTGGATTCCCTGACTACTTCACTAAAATCACTTCACAGTTGACTCTGATTCCTGGAGCTATGACATCAGATTTAGGTTAGAAATGAAAAGCTTTAAAATTACAAGAATGACAATAAAATACAATCAAACCAAGATCATTTAGATTAAATGTTCTCTGCAATTATTTCACACAATTAAAAGAAACAGATGAATGGATAAAGAAGATGTGGTACATACACAGTGGAATATTATTCAGCCATAAAAAGGAAAGAAATCCTGCCATTTGCAACCACATAGATGGATCTAGAGAGTATTGTGCTCAGTGAAATAAGCAAAGTGGAGAAGGACAAATACCATATGATTTCACTCATTTGTGGAATATAAAAACAAAGCAAAACAGATTGAACAAAACAGTAGTAGACTTATAGATACTGAAAAGTAACTTGTGGTTACCCTTGTGGTTACCAGGGGTTTGGTTGGGAATACGGTAGGGTGAGGAGAATAAAGGAGCACAAAAACCCTCAATCATAGTATAAGTTGGTCACAGGGATAGTAGCACAGCATGGAGAATATAGTCAATGATTCTGTAACATCTTTCTATATTAATAGATAGTAACTGCACTGGGTGGGTGAGGATTTAATAATATGGCTAATAGTTGAACCACTGTGTTGTATGTTTGAAACTAATATACACTGTATATCAATGATACTTCAATAAAAATAAATCAAAAAGAAAAGAAACAGAGAAATTAAGGATGATGACTTTTAAAAGGCTGACAGATCCAGGCAGTAAATATTCAAAAGTGATCATTATGAGAATGTGAGTAGAATAAAAAGCTTAATCACAGGGGGGTCAAGGAGGGAACCTGATCACTAAACTTTTCTGATTAGATGCTTCATATCCAGGAAACTAACTACTGAGGTGCCAATATCCTTGATCAATGCCGTGAAGGAACCCAGAGGCTGAGAATTGACAGTGATCAATAAGGAAGTAGAGAATAATGTGTCTAGTGACATCTGACTGAAGGGAAGAAGTGGTATCATATAAAGCACTGGAGGGATTTCAGAAGTCGTGGCATATTCCTCGCAGTGGTGGCACCTATGGCTTAGTCCTCAGATCAGTGTTTCTCAAAATAAACTGTGTACCACCAGAAGCAGCCCCTGATGTGCTTGCTGAAAATGTGGATTCTTGGGCCTGGGCCTGGGTTTCCTAATCCTAATCTTTAGGCCTCAGATCCAGACATTCTGTAAAGAAAATCATTTGCAAACAATGGTATTTGGATTTTTAAATTTGGGAAAATCTGACTTGATTTTCCAAGCCCAAGGATGCTAATGGTGATAACTCAAACTCAACACTGGATCAGCACATGGCTCTAGTTTCTCCTACCAGACTGGTGGTGTTAGTCAACCTCTAAATGTTGGCGTGTCCAGGGGCTCTGTCCTATCTATATGTTGTTTCCAGAGGATCCCAAATAGCTCTATGGTTTAAAACACCATTTAAACAATGACTCTCAATTTGTGAATCCAGTACTCATCTTCGCTTGAATTCCAATCTTGCATACTCAGTGATCTACTTTGTACTTCCATATTATGCCTAATGTGGCCAAAACCTGCTCTCTCCCAAGCCTCTTTATGTTAGTGAATAAAGCCACTGTCTTCAAGATACTCAAACCAAAAATCTAGGATTCTTCTTTCACCTTTAGGCTCCACACTCAATCCACCAGTTTTGGATGTTACCTTCAAAACATATCTGGAGACCACCTACTTCTCTCTTTTTTATTTCAATTTTTTATTAAGGTATTATTGATATACACTCTTACGAAGGTTTCACATGAAAAAACAATGTGGTTACTGCATTTACCCATATTATCAAGTACCCACCTATACCCCAATGCAGTCACTGTCCATCAGTGTAGTAAGATGCCACAGATCCACTGTGTGCCTTGTCTGTGCTACACTGTTCTCCCCGTGACCCCCCACACCATGTGTACTAAACATAATACCCCTCAGTCCCCATCTCCCTCCCTCCCCACCCGCTCTCCCCACCCCTCCCCTTTGGTAACCACTAGGCCCTTCTTGGAGTCTGTGGGTCTGCTGCTGTTTTGTTCCTTCAGTTTTGCTTCATTGTTATACTCCACAAATGAGGGAAATCATTTGGCACTTGTCTTTCTCCGCCTGGCTTATTTCACTGAGCATAATGTCCTGCAGCTCCATCCATGTTGTTGCAAATGTAA